TTCCAAAGAATGCAGTCTGAGTCCTGGCCAGCTCCCTGCTTCTGGCCTGAGAACAGCAGTGGAGGACCGGCCCCTGCACCCCCAGGGGAGACCAGGAGGGAGTGCCCAGCTCTTGGCTTCAGCTGGTCCAGCCCAAGCTGTTGTGCCCATTTGGGGAGTGAACCAGCAGGTGGAAGATCTCTCCCTTGCCCTGTAACCCTGCCCTTCCAACAAATACATCTTAAAAAATAAATAGAAAAAAAAAGAGCAGTCACTAACAGACATACATTTTAAATACATTTTCAGCATCCAAGTCTCCGAATCATAAAGAGAGAGCTCAGGGGTGGGGAGCACACTGCCAGTGGATAACCTATGAGGCCAGCTCCAGCTCCACACGCGAGCGCCAACAGGCAGGTGCACCCAGTGGAAGTGCTACCTGCTCCGGAACAGCACAGACGGGCACATGCACATGCGAAAGCCACGGAGGGCAGACGACAGTGCCAAGGCCAGCTGCATTGCCAGAAGGACCTCCCTGGAGCCACCTGGCTTACGGACGCTGGTAATAAGGCAAGGGGGCTGCGATGGTGCTGTGGGTGGGGGCACAGCGGGAGACGCTACGTGACACTGGGTATTGGGAAGCAAATAAAGCGCCAAGGACTCCAAGGAGCTTCACCAGCTTGTTGAGGAGAGGCACCTGCCACCTGCTTGTTCATGTACAGACAGGCACATAGGAGACCCAGTCATGCACGCTGCATGGGTTGGCCACCTCAGCCCGGGCTCTAGCACGGAAGGCTGCTGCGCCAGAACCTTCGGTATCTGATAAGCCAAGGAAGGTGAGGAATGGGGAGCTGGGGTGTGCGTGGGCTTCCTCGTGAGCCTCGTGCAGGATGTGTTGGCTGGTAGCCCAGCGGGACAGCAAGCAGCCCCGAAAACTAGCCCCCAGCCCCTCTCTGGGGCTATCCCCTGCTTCCCCATCATGATTTGAACACACAAACCAACTGGATTCTTCCTTTGCACAAGTCAGTCAGCCACCGCTGCTTCCCGCCAGGTACCGGCCAAGGACAGCCAGCCACGTTGGGTCTTGGCAGATAAACACACACTGTTGCCAGCCCCAGCCATGTTTCATTTGTTCTTCTCTGTTGTGGAGACGCAGTGGAAAATGGAGCAGATCACCCACCCCCGGACGTGGTGACTCGCGAGCAGCCAGGGGGAGCGACCTATTTTGAGCGAGGCTGTGGCTGGTGTGTGACGCGGTCTCACTGGGGTGCCCTGCACACGACCACACACACACCTGGGGCTTGCACGCACCTGCCTGGGACAGGGGTACACCAGCAGCCTCCCAGGCCTGGGAACCCTGATCCCCCACCTGCTGAGCTACATCCTCACAGGTGCCACTCCCTGCCCTCTCCCTGCCTCCTCAATAGTCCTGGCTCCCTAGGCAGAGCTAAGAGGCAGATGGGGCACTGCCAGGGAGGGGCTGAGCACCCGCTTCCAGTGCCTGGAGACTTCCTCCACTATGCAGGCTGCTGTTGCTGCTTCATCCCACGACACTTCCAGGTCTGTGCACCCAGCAGGCACTGTGATGGCCTAGGCCTATGTTGACTTTGTTCCTAGAGGCCAGAGCTAGACTGGGGAAAGTCCAGACTTTCAGAAATGATCATGGGACCACAGCTTACAGGGTAAAGCCACTGCCTGCAGCGCCAGCAGCCCATCTGGGCACAAGACAAGCCCTGGCTGCTCCACTTTCCATCCAGCTCCCTGCTAATATTCCTAGAAGATGCTCCAAGTGCTGGGGACCCCTGGATGAAGCCCCTGGCTTTGTCTGGCCCAGCCCTGGCTGTTACAAGCATTTGGAAGGGGAACCAGCAGATGGAAGAGTGTCTGCTTTTCAAATAAAATAAGTGACTCCAATTTGTGAAAAACTCACCTTTCAGATTCCGTGTCAGTGGCTGGCATACAGCTGCGATGCCATCAGCCCCACCCTGCACAGGGGCTACTGTGGCTGGGACCACCCACTTGACCCGCAGGCCCTCGGCCGTGGTCATAGCCAGGCCCACAGCTGCTAGGTGAGGGCCTGTGGGCAGTCGGAGAGCAGCACAGGGAGGCTGAGGGAAAGGGAAGCTGGGACAATGTCTGTAACGCCAGCTCAGCATCCCAGCCGCTCCTCAGCTGGGTCCTGCCTCACAGGGACAGGTGCAGCATGACCTGCCCACAGAATAGAGCACGTGGCTGTGAAGGAACCACAACGTGGAAGGGCTGGCACACGCCATGGCCATGCACAGAAGAGGCCCTGGACGCCCAGCAAGCGGCTGCCTCTCAGGGACCACGGATACGAGCAAGGACTCAAAGTCGACAGGGGACAGCAGGTCCAGAAACACCAGCTGTGACCATGACTGACGGGCCGCGTGCCACATCTCAGCGAGCCAGCCCCGGAGAGGACACGCACAGCTCTGGTCATGCTCTGGCAGCATCCCGGCCTGAGACCTCCCTCTGCTGCAGCCTGCTGCGGGCCGGCCCTGCCTTTCCCATTAGCCCATGGCAGAGGGGATCACGGGCCATGGGGAAGGCAGCTTCACGCCCCGCCTGGGCCGCACGAGGCCCTGTAGCCACTGAGAGGATGGCAGGAGACACCTCTGGGACTCTCATCTCATGTGGCCAGGCCTGCAGGTCAGCAGTCTTCTGCAAACAATGAGGACCCAAAGCCCTTCTTTTCTTCTTGATTTGAAAGGCAGAATTAGAGAAATACAGAGAAAGGGTCATGGCCCACGACTCTGAAGCCAGGAGCCAGCCTGTGGGCGCAGGTGCCTGAGCCCTTGGCCCGTCCTCTGCTGCTTTCCCAGGCCATCGGCAAGGAGCTGGCTGGGAAGTGCAGCAGCCCGGGCACAGACAGGTACCGTATGGGCTCCTGGTGTCCCAGGCGGTAGCTTCAGTGGCTACAGCAGCCCCTCCTCCTTGGATTTGTGAGAAAGATGGCGTTCCCTTCCCTCTCTCCGAAGTGGGAAATGTATGTAGCAGACGCAGGAGCGCAGGGTCCTCCTTCAACACAACACACCCATAATGGGCAAGGTGGCCTCGCTGGGCCTCAGTGAGACGAGTGTCATCACATGAGCGATGGCCAAGCCGTGATTCACACTGCAGCCTAAGGCAGCACGCTAGCGCAGGCCTGGAGGTGGCTCACGGGAACATGGACTCCTGGTGGCGTCACACAGGGGCTAGGGGGCACTGAACAGGGTCATCGGGGCTCTGTGGCAGAGCGGACAGATTTCCATTTGAAACTCTTAATTATAATTTGGGATTTGGGGTGCTCAAGGGGGAAATTCCTTCATCCCGTTACCCCACGTGAACAGCTGCTACATGGTGTGCCGTATATGCCTTTACTACACTTTCAGAAATACCTCCTGGTAGCACGGTTAGATTGCACTCGGCCTTACGGGTCACCCAGGAGCACGGCAAGTCTGGAGGCAAGCCTCACCGGGGTGCCAGCCCAGAGCCCCCTGAGGAGCCACACCCCCCCTCCCCCGCTCACCTCACGGGGGCGTCCATCCAGGGCCCCCTGAGGAGTCACACCCTGCCCTGCTCACCCCATTGGGGCGTCGGCCCAGGGCCCCCTGAGGAGCCACACCCTGCCCCACTTACCCCGCTGGGGTGTTGGCCCAGGGCCCCCTGAGGAGCTCCGCCCCACCCCGCTCACCCCACGGGGGTGTCAGCTCAAGGCCTGTAGGCCAAGAAAGAAACCCCCACCACAGGGGTCCCACCTACTAGCACCATATGAACTTGGGGTACACAGGCATACTCATTTTCTTTGAGCCTCCCAGCCAGACAGGCCAGTCACTCTCCCTGACTTTGGGCCTCCCTGCTGACTGCAGACACTGTGAAAGGAAGTGCCAGCATGGACAGAGCCTGCAGGGCTTCCTGTGCAACCCTGCCTGCTGCAGCCTCCCTGCCAGAACAGAGGCTGGGCAGGTGGCAACAGTGACCATCGGGGGCTGTCCGTGCCCGCCCTGCCCTCCCATCAGAAGGCCCTGTGGGTTGCAGCAGGCTGGACCATGTCCGGGGAAATGCCTTCAGGGGCCAGACAGGTGCCCCGAGGCCTAGAAGTGGACACAACATGTGACCCTGGCAGCCAGGTGCTTTTGTCTCGACGCCACACAGCTTCAGCTGGCACTGAGAAATGCCGCCATGGTCACGTACCTGTGGGGCTCACAGACAAGACACACAGACTGAGGAGCAGGCGCGGGGAGGTGTGCGGGGCCTGCAGGACGCCGAGAGCAGGCTGTGCGAGTGTGGGACTTGGGGGAGGAGCAGAGGGCAGGGGACACCTCAGACAAGAAGTGGCAGAGGCCAGTATCCGCTCCTCGGGCACAGGGTTCCCCTGCACCCCCAGCTGCCGGCTCTCGTCACACGCTAGACAGAAGCAGTCCAGGCTTTTTATTCATTCCCAGCGACCAACCAGACAAAAAGATCTGGTGTTTTCAACCGCCACTGTGTGACATGGCCCACGCAGGTATCTGATGTGATTCCCTCACTTGAACAGGTGGCCAAACGCAGGCACGCCCGCAGCTGAGTCTGCACTCACAGGCCTGGGCTGCAGTCTCCCACCTCCGAGCCCAACGCCAGCATCTCAGGGTGACAGCAAGGGACCTGTCTCACACGCCACCATCCAGCAGCCCCTTGGCCACTTCACGGAAACCCAGCTTCCACCCATAGGCGGAAACAAACTGCACGTCTGGCTGAGAAGCGACAGAGGACGCAGTGAGGCAGGCCCGTCTCCAGCCTGCCGTCTGCTCAGAGCAGTCGGCTCCCCACGCCGGGCGCCCCAGCCCTCCCACCCTCCGCCCTGCACACCCCAGGCCCAGTCTGTGTCTCCGCCATGTTCAGGCATCACAGAACCAGTCTGCTTGCTGGCATCAATGAACTACGTCGGACCTGATGCTTTTGTTTTAAAAGGAAACTTTAATAAAAATCCATAATTTAGCTGAAATTAAAATGTATAAAAATTAACACGGTCATAATACTTACATAAATAGGAATATGCATGCATCACTTTGATTTGTTTCCCTGCTTGCCCTTTTCCATTGCAAAGGTCAGTGACCCACACCACAGGGCAGCCACAGGACAGCCAGGCTCAGCTTTGGAAGGGTGAACCGACCCCTGCCTTACTCCCTCGGGTCTCAGGCCCTGACACCTAGTTCGTCGCAACTGGACTTCTGTGTTCACCTGCGATCTCAAGTGAGGGCCCGGGGCCAGGGGCTCGGGGCCCTCCCGGCAGCAGCGTGTGCGGGGCTGGGCGCTGGGCGCTGGGCGCTGCGCCAGGGGCCGCTGCCGGACTGCAGGAGCAACCGCGCTGACACACGTGCTGCCAATGGCCGTGAGGGATGTGCTGACATTCTCATGTTTCTTTAAATCAAGCAAAACTAAACAGTACACACGAGTAATTTAATACAACCTTAATGGTCTAACACACCTTCCAAACGGAAGAAAATACAGAATAAAGACACATCAAGTCTAACTTACATTAATGTGCTTCTATTTCAAATTCATGGGTCACCTGGCCGAGTGTGTGTAGACCTGCGTGCCTGTGAACACACCGTGGGGTGAGCTGCCCACGCAGAGTGGGTACACCCTCGGCCAGCAGCCCCACAGCCTTGTCTGTGGCTCAGCACACCCCCACGCTCCTGCCGCCCTCCCCACGGCGTCCACCGAGACGCGTGGCCCAGCCCGAGTGAGACACTGACGCCCCCACACTCACATAGGCATCTTGTTTAGTAAACTGAAAACTTCATCTTCCAAAATAGCTGCAGTCTGAGCCCAAGGCACCAACGGGGAGCCGGCACAGCGCCGCTGAACTGCGACTCGCCGCACAGGACGCCCGGTCCTGCTTAGAGCCACTTCCGGGGACAGGGGGGGCTAGGCCACATCCTCCAGGTAATCAGCGACGTCACTGAGCTGAGACACGGTCAGGTCTTGGGTGAGGTCCTCGAGCTGCGGAGTAACAGAGATGATCAGGGCCAGAGCGAGGGCACGGCGGGAGGGGGGGTGGGAGGGCACAGCGGGAGGGCACGGCGGGAGGCCAGGGCGGGAGGGAGGGTGAGAGGCCAGGGCAGAGGCCACGGTGGGAGGGCATGGCAGGAGGGCACGGCGGGAGGGCACAGCGGGAGGCCAGGGCGGGAGGGAGGGTGGGAGGCCAGGGCAGAGGCCACGGCGGGAGGGCACAGTGGAAGGGCATGGAGGGAGGGCACAGCATGAGGCCAGGGCAGAGGGCATGGTGGGAGGGCACGGCGGGAGGCCAGGGCAGAGGGCATGGTGGGAGGGCACGGCGGGAGGCCAGGGCAGAGGGCATGGTGGGAGGGCACGGTGGGAGGCCAGGGCAGAGGGCATGGTGGGAGGGCACGGCGGGAGGCCAGGGCAGAGGGCATGGTGGGAGGGCACGGCGGGAGGCCAGGGCAGAGGGCATGGTGGGAGGGCACGGTGGGAGGCCAGGGCAGAGGCCATCACGGCGGGAGGGCATGGTGTCCACACCTTCTCTCCTCCATAAACCATCCCGTAAGGCCACGGCCACCACGTCACACCTCATTCTCTATAAACAGTCTGCAACTTTTGAAGCAAGGAATCAAGTGCCCCCTCCTCCCGCAGCCCTGCTCTGTGCTCCCCCCTCCTCCCGCAGCCCTGCTCTGTGCTCCCTCCCCACTCCCGCAGCCCTGCTCTGTGCTCCCTCCCTCCTCCCGCAGCCCTGCTCTGTGCTCCCTCCTCTTCCCGCAGCCCTGCTCTGTGCTCCCCCTCCCGCAGCCCTGCTCTGTGCTCCCCCCTCCCGCAGCCCTGCTCTGTGCTCCCCCCTCCTCCCGCAGCCCTGCTCTGTGCTCCCTCCCTCCTCCTCCCGCAGCCCTGCTCTGTGCTCCCCCCTCTTCCCGCAGCCCTGCTCTGTGCTCCCCTCTCCTCCCACAGCCCTGCTCTGTGCTCCCTCCCCACTCCCGCAGCCCTGCTCTGTGCTCCCCCCTCCTCCCGCAGCCCTGCTCTGTGCTCCCTCCCCACTCCCGCAGCCCTGCTCTGTGCTCCCCCCTCCTCCCGCAGCCCTGCTCTGTGCTCCCTCCCCACTCCCGCAGCCCTGCTCTGTGCTCCCACTCCGCAGCCCTGCTCTGTGCTCCCTCCTCCCGCAGCCCTGCTCTGTGCTCCCCCTCCTCCCGCAGCCCTGCTCTGTGCTCCCCCTCCCGCAGCCCTGCTCTGTGCTCCCCCCTCCTCCCGCAGCCCTGCTCTGTGCTCCCCCCTCCCGCAGCCCTGCTCTGTGCTCCCCCTCCCGCAGCCCTGCTCTGTGCTCCCCCTCCCGCAGCCTGCTCTGTGCTCCCCCCTCCCGCAGCCCTGCTCTGTGCTCCCCCCTCCTCCCGCAGCCCTGCTCTGTGCTCCCTCCCCACTCCCGCAGCCCTGCTCTGTGCTCCCCCCTCCTCCCGCAGCCCTGCTCTGTGCTCCCTCCCCACTCCCGCAGCCCTGCTCTGTGCTCCCTCCCCACTCCCGCAGCCCTGCTCTGTGCTCCCTCCCTCCTCCCGCAGCCCTGCTCTGTGCTCCCTCCCCACTCCCGCAGCCCTGCTCTGTGCTCCCCCCTCCTCCCGCAGCCCTGCTCTGTGCTCCCTCCCCCCTCCCGCAGCCCTGCTCTGTGCTCCCCACTCCCGCAGCCCTGCTCTGTGCTCCCTCCTCCCGCAGCCCTGCTCTGTGCTCCCCCCTCCTCCCGCAGCCCTGCTCTGTGCTCCCCCTCCGCAGCCCTGCTCTGTGCTCCCCCCTCCCGCAGCCCTGCTCTGTGCTCCCCCTCCCGCAGCCCTGCTCTGTGCTCCCCTCCGCAGCCCTGCTCTGTGCCCCCTCCCGCAGCCCTGCTCTGTGCTCCCCCCTCCGCAGCCTGCCTGGCCCCCTCCCCGCAGCCCTGCTCTGTGCTCCCTCCCCACTCCGCAGCCCTGCTCTGTGCTCCCCCTCCTCCCGCAGCCCTGCTCTGTGCTCCCTCCCACTCCCGCAGCCCTGCTCTGTGCTCCCTCCCCACTCCCACAGCCCTGCTCTGTGCTCCCTCCCTCCTCCCGCAGCCCTGCTCTGTGCTCCCCCTCCTCCGCAGCCCTGCTCTGTGCTCCTCCCCTCCCGCAGCCCTGCTCTGTGCTCCCCCCTCCTCCCGCAGCCCTGCTCTGTGCTCCCTCCCCACTCCCGCAGCCCTGCTCTGTGCTCCCCCCTCCTCCCGCAGCCCTGCTCTGTGCTCCCTCCTCATCTCCTCCCACAGCCCTGCTCTGTGCTCCCTCCCTCCTCCCGCAGCCCTGCTCTGTGCTCCTTCCTCCCGCAGCCCTGCTCTGTGCTCCCCCCTTCTCCCCCAGCTCTGCTCTGTGCTCCTTCCTCCCCGCTCATCTCCCTCAGCCCTGCTCTGTGCCTCCCTAAACAAACTAAGTGCATCAAAGCAATCGTCTTGGTCACCTCAGCTAATAGTTCATTACAGAAAAATACATGTTTGTTTGTATTCCCCAGATGCCTGCCACAAGCTCTCGGCACGGAAGTCTACAGCCAAGCCTCGCCCGCCTGTGGCCAGCCCTACAAGGCCCAGCCCGGGGAACGTGCAGAGGGCTGGCGCAGCCTGTGCCCAGGGCTCTTGCACTCACTGTCCAGCACAGCTGTGCAGGCGGCCATGACGGGCCCCCCTCACGCTCACGCTCTACTCTGAGCCCGGGGCTCAACTGCACGTTAACATCATCAAAAAGCGCTTGGGGCTGGCTCGTGGTGCAGCATGTCAGGCTGCTGCCTGGAATACCCACAGCCCTGGAGGTCCGGAGAGGTTCCCACAGCAAAGGGAGACCTGGCTGGGCACCCAGCACCCCGCCTCCTGCCTGGCCAGCTGTGGGGAATCAACCAGTGGACAGACTTTTCTCTGTCTCCAACTTTTCAATAGATAAAACGAACAATAGGTAACTTAAAAGGGAAACTGGCTGTTTCCGAGCCCGGCCTGACTGAAGCAGTCCCGGCTCTCTGCAGGGCGGCATAGGCCAAGTGGTAAGAGACAGGTGCGGCCACATGTACCGCACAGGCCTGCACCGCCCAGGGACCGAGTCCGGCCCAAGCACGGCACAGCGCCCCTGGCGCCACCATCGCAGAGCCTCACAGTGGCCAACGGGAATGCCCCAGAGGAGAGCCCACAGTGCCAGCCACTGTCAGGGAGACCCTGGAGCAGAGAGACCCCAGAGCAGGGCACACAGCACCCACCCCAGAGAGAGCTGGCCTCCCACAAGCGGCCCCGCCCACCCCTGCTGCCAGCGGTGCCATGCCTGTCTAGATGACACAAGTGGGCCCTGAGGTGGCATGGCCTCTGCGCTCTGGTCTTGGCTGGACAGCTCTGAGTGCAGCCCCAAGTACACATCTCCGACGCTCTGAGCGTCAGGGTGGGCGTGGCCAGCACAGCCCACTCGTGAGCACGCTCTCCACAGCCCTCTGGGAAGGTGGCCGGGACGGTGCCCACGCGGGGCCGAGGCGTGAGCCCTTACTTTATCACTGGTGTTGATGTCGTCCACGTCCACGGAGAGGTCCTCTTCAATCTCCTCCCCGATGCTTAGCTCGCTCTTCTCTGAGCGATGGCTGGTACTGGTTCAGGAAAAAAACAAAATCAAAAGTAAGAACTCCGAAAGTAAAGACTGAAGACAACCAGCACTACTCTAAACTTTGACCTCCACTTTCGGCTTTAGCTACAAGAGCAAGTGTCATGATTTCACTTGTACGTCCCCCCGTGGCCCGGATTTGGGGGGGCACAGAGAACTAAGGCTCCCCTGGGACTGGCAAAGGCCAGCACTCTCTCCAACCTCTTGCACACTACATGAGCCTGCTGAAAAATCCCCAAAGTCCCAGCGAACCAAACACTCAGCGAACTGCACAGTAACAGCTGACTCACAGACAAGGAACTCAACAGAAACCACGGGGGCGGACGTCTTGAGCAGAAGAGCCATGCCAAGTGCCCAGTCCCTCCCTGAGACGCCGGGGACATGCCAACCCGCCTCCAGCCACAGGAAGCAGGACACACACCTCCTAGCCCAGCGCTCGCTCAGGTTCAGTGAGGATGACCTGAGCCCAGCCCACTGGCCAGCCCTGCTGTTGTTCCGCCGCCCTCGTCTGCACTCACGTTCACACCCAGGAAGGCCCCACGCGTGCAGCCGTGGCTTCCTTACCTATTGAAATCGTCTACGTAGTCCTCTTCTCCAGGCCCTGATAAATTCAAGAGCAGACGTTAGGGCTGCACTGTGGAGTTGGGGGTGCAAGGCTGGGTGGCGCCTCTGAGCAACAGTAGTGCTAAAAGGTTATCAGGGCTAAGTAGTAAATTAGTGTCTCAAGGCGAGACGAGGTGAGCGTGTGCAGCAGGAGTGCAAGGGTGCTGAGCAGGGATAAGGCAGCCTAACTGTCACCGCTCTACGGGGCTTCTGTAACCATGGCCTGGCTTTGCTGTGTAAAGAGCAGGACCGACGCCATGACGGGCCCAAGGTCAGAGAGTAAGGCCTAAATTTCATTTCACTCCAAAGTTTCATTTTCCTTAGAGACAGAGTGGGCAGTGGAGAACAGCCTTGGGAACTGGGCCAATCAAGGGGATCCGCACGTCCACGAGTGACGAGACTAAGACAAGGACTGCTTGCTGGAGATGTGTTGTGCGTGACTAGGAGGGAACAAAGAGCCTGCAAGAGAGCAGCGGGGTCCTTGCCAAGACTCCACTGCGGTGGATGAGACTCGGACCCCAGCTCGAGCTAGCAATAGTTTCTTTGCTCTTGCATTGCTGCGTGTGGAACTTCGGGGATCTTTTGGACCTAACGGCACAGTTACACCACATGGCTACCGAGTCAGACACTTCTGGGTGGCCCAGGCCCTGGACTAGGAGGCCCACAAAGCCGCCTGCAGACCCTGAAGGTCAGTGCTGATGGTCAGGTAACTGGGTTCCCATCACACACTCAGCAAAGCCCCAGGCTGAGTTCCTGGTGTCCAGCCATCACTGGATGAAAGGGTGTGAACACACAGCAGGGGCTGTCTGTGCCTCTCCAGTACACACACACCTACACAGACTGTGTAAACACACACCCACACACGTCCACAATCCATACATACACCTACACAGACTGTGTAAACACACACCCACACATCCACAATACACACACACCTACACAGACTGTGTAAACACACACCCACAGTCCACAATACACACACACCTACACAGACTGTGTAAACACACACCCACATGTCCACAATACACACACACCTACACAGACTGTGTAAACACACACCCACACGTCCACAATACACACACACCTACACAGACTGTGTAAACACACACCCACACACGTCCACAATACACACACACCTACACAGACTGTGTAAACACACACCCACACACGTCCACAATCCATACATACACCTACACAGACTGTGTAAACACACACCCACACACGTCCACAATACATACACACCTACACAGATAGACTGTGTAAACACACACCCACACACGTCCACAATACACACACACCTACACAGATAGACTGTGTAAACACACACCCACACGTGTCCACAATACATACACACCTACACAGACTGTGTAAACACACACCCACACGTCCACAATACACACACACCTACACAGACTGTGTAAACACACACCCACACACGTCCACAATCCATACATACACCTACACAGACTGTGTAAACACACCCACACACGTCCACAACACATACACACCTACACAGATAGACTGTGTAAACACACACCCACACACGTCCACAATACATACACACCTACACAGATAGACTGTGTAAACACACACCCACACGTCCACAATACATACACACCTACACAGACTGTGTAAACACACACCCACACACGTCCACAATCCATACATACACCTACACAGACTGTGTAAACACACACCCACACGTGTCCACAATACATACACACCTACACAGACTGTGTAAACACACACCCACACGTGTCCACAATACATACACACCTACACTCAGATAGACTGTGTAAACACACACCCACACACGTCCACAATCCATACATACACCTACACAGACTGTGTAAACACACACCCACACACGTCCACAATCCATACATACACCTACACAGACTGTGTAAACACACACCCACACGTGTCCACAATACATACACACCTACACAGACTGTGTAAACACACACCCACACGTGTCCACAATACATACACACCTACACAGACTGTGTAAACACACACCCACACGTGTCCACAATACATACACACCTACACAGATAGACTGTGTAAACACACACCCACACATCCACAATACACACACACCTACACAGACTGTGTAAACACACACCCACACGTGTCCACAATACATACATACACCTACACACAGACTGTGTAAACACACACCCACACGTGTCCACAATACATACATACACCTACACACAGACTGTGTAAACACACACCCACACACGTCCACAATCCATACATACACCTACACAGACTGTGTAAACACACACCCACACGTGTCCACAATACATACACACCTACACAGACTGTGTAAACACACACCCACACACGTCCACAATACACACACACCTACACAGACTGTGTAAACACACACCCACACGTGTCCACAATACATACACACCTACACAGATAGACTGTGTAAACACACACCCACACACGTCCACAATCCATACATACACCTACACAGACTGTGTAAACACACACCCACACGTGTCCACAATACATACACACCTACACAGATAGACTGTGTAAACACACACCCACACACGTCCACAATACACACACACCTACACAGACTGTGTAAACACACACCCGCACGTCCACAATACACACACACCTACACAGACTGTGTAAACACACACCCACACGTGTCCACAATACATACACACCTACACAGATAGACTGTGTAAACACACACCCACACGTGTCCACAATACATACACACCTACACAGACTATGTAAACACACACCCACACGTCCACAATACATACACACCTACACACAGACTGTGTAAACACACACCCACACGTCCACAATACATACACACCTACACAGACTGTGTAAACACACACCCACACACGTCCACAATACATACACACCTACACAGACTGTGTAAACACACACCCACACGTCCACAATACATACACACCTACACAGACTGTGTAAACACACACCCACACATCCACAATACATACACACCTACACAGATAGACTGTGTAAACACACACCCACACACGTCCACAATACACACACACCTACACAGACTGTGTAAACACACACCCACACGCGTCCACAATCCATACATACACCTACACAGACTGTGTAAACACACACCCACACGCGTCCTCAATACATACACACTGTGTGAACACACACCCACACATGTGTGCACACATACACACTGCACAAACACAAACTACACATGACACTTTTGTATGTACCTACATACCTACAAAGATTGCACACACACACACACATATTGCATAAAACACATCTGCCACACATATTTCTACTACGTAAACACGTACATGAATATGCCTGTACTACAAACACATGCGTAACAGACATGCAAGTGTGTATATATATACACATATATACCATACATGTATGTGCATGCCACACACTTAAATGCATCTACATGTATGCATGCTGCGTGAGCTCATATATAACACACACTTGTTTAATACACATTACACAATAACATACAACATTCAAAAGCAATGGGACTGGCATCATGGCACAGTGGCTTGCCAGCTGCCTGTGACGTCAGTAGACTAGAGTCCCAGCTGCCCAGTTCTGATCCAGCTCCCAGCTAATGCACCCGGGCGGGAGAGCCCTAAGGCTTGAGCCCCTGCAGCCAAGAAGGAGACACAGATGCTGTTCCAGACTCCTGCCTTGGGCCAGTCCGGAGCAGTGTGGCCATCTGGGGAGTGAACCAACAGATGGGAGACCTGCCTGTCTCCCTCTCTCCCAGGGGCCTTGTCCAGGTCAGAGGCAGCTCTCATCACGCACGGGGTGGGTGCCCACAGGATGCCCGCCCATGCATGCCAGTTCATTCAGCTTTTGGCTACCTCTCGGGGTCCTGCAAGGCTGCAACAGAGGGCCCTGCAGGACTCCCAGCTCACAGAGCACACAGCTGCAACCAGCCATCCCAGTGTCAGCTGCATGACAACCAGACCACAAGCTCTCAGCATCCCGCGAACGGCTCGGCCTCTGAGCAAATTCCAGCACCAGGACTGAGCTATGCCCCTCTCCCTCGGCCAGGTCCTCCTCACCCACCCGCCTCAGCGCAGAAGTCTCCCCAGAAGCCGAGCCAGGGGAAGGTCACCCACCCTCAGACAACGAGTTGGCAAGACTCCACGCAGCTGAGGGTACAGCGAAGATGTCCAGCTTCCCTACTAGATTTTTTTTTTAATACTTATTTGCAAGCAAGGTCACAGAGAGAGGGAGAGAGGAAAAGAGCGAGAGAGGGAGAAAGGGAGAGAGAGAGGTCGGACTTCACTGCTGGCTTACTCCCTGGATGGCCGCGACAGCCACGCCAGGCCCAAGCCAGGAGGCACAAGCACTGGGGCGGCCTCCTGTCCTCTGGTGCCATTCGCAGGGAGCTGGGTCAGAGGGAAGCAGCAGGGACACGGCCAACAGCTGTATGGGATGCCAGCATCACAGGGAAGGCTCTACCCACTACACTACAGGGCCGGCCCTACAAGACGGGGCTCTTGGTGGCTGCTCCAGCCACCTCCGCACAGCGTGCAGCCCTGGACACACAGCTGTGCAGGTGGCTGCCGAGCCCCGAGCAGGGCACAGAAGACTGAGCCACTGCATCACGGTTTTACCCCAAATTCAAACACTTTAAAACAATCAGCACTAAAAGTAGAAGTCTAGTTACCTAATCCAAGAGATCCGATTTTATCATTGACTATTTTCAGATCTTTCAAAATGCTGCTTCCTCTTCTGCCTGAAAACAAACACGCGGTGAGGATCCCAGCACCTTCGGAGCCCAGCGTCTGCCCGGCTGTCGGCCCTGCCTGGTGGCCTTCCGCATGGGGCACAGCAGCCTCCAGCTGGGTGCCACGCTGGGTGCTGCCACCGTGGCGCCCACCATGAGCAGTCTGCCGACTCCCCGGCGGCAGCACGGCCCGCTCCGGAAACTGCTCCCCTAAGCGTCACTTGCGGGCTACAATCGTTTCCCCAGTTTCATTTTGCCTTGTAAATGCTGCTCCTGTCTCCCAAGCCTGCTGGCTGCTTCCACTGCTCGGTCCTCGAGCTCCTTTCTCCGTTCCCTGTAGTCACTGGCAGAGTGACAACATCATGACATCAGGATTCTTCTGCAAGTGGCACAGCCACAGCAGCAAGAGCACTAGGAGGGCTGTGGGATGGAGGGCTGAGAGTCCCACATGAGGGCACACAGCACCTGCCAAGTACAGACGACAAGCAGGAGCCGGCTCTTCTTGCTTGGGTTCCAGAAGCACTGGGCCACAGTTACAAGCAGCCACACTTGGTGCTGGCCAGGACCCAGAGCACAGGCGCCACCTGCTGGGCTCCACGTGTCAGCACCGTCACGCCAAACATGGCTAGCAACTGACCTCTGACCCTGCCAACCCTCACACCTACGCGAGGGCCACGGCCTGAAGGCAAAACAACAGCTCCGTTTAACATTGCTATAATGATCACCGTGCTATCACAGAACAGATTTTTGAAAAATAACAACTTAAACTCCACTCAATTCCACCCAACAGGCAACAAGAGAACTGACGGGTGTTGCTCGGCCCACAGCCGGGTTGTGTCCTGCTAGCTACCTCAGGCGGAAACCCGGCAGTCTGAAGTGCGCCGAGCAGCCTTACGACACTCCGCAGCCCTGCCATTCTCCTGGCGACCCCTGAGAGAGCTGTACCACGCACTGACCCCTAGCTTGGGCAAAGGTCAAAGTTGAAAACTCAAAGCAGTTTTTGAGTGCATGGTGCCTGCCCACGTAACGAAGCTGAAGAAAACTGCATAACGTGGAGTCAGCTCAGCAGTCCACGTCCTCAGGACCATGATGGCACACGGAACAACGAAACCAAATCAGAGGGGCTGGCACAGCGGGTGGGCCAGGCCTGCAGCACTGGCAGCCCACGGGGTGCCATCTGGCTCCCTGCTTGTGGCCTGGGACAGCAGCAGAGGATGGCCCATGCTTGGGTCCCTCTACCATGTGGGAGACCCGAAGAAGCACCTGGCTCCTGGCTTCGAGGTGGCCCAGCATCAGCCGTCGCAGCCACTGGGCAAGCAAACCAGGACACGGATGATCTCTCTGCTCGCTCAGTCTTACCGTAAACTCTGCCTTCAAAGGAGCTAAACGTTTTAAAAAAGAATCGGAACAGCTTCCGGTACTTACCCTCGGAGTCCTTCAAGGAGGGGGCTCCCTCCAGGCCGAGTCCACCCCGCAAGGGGGGCGCGTCCGAGAGCGAGGCCAGGCCTGCCACAGGCCTCCGGGCTTCACTTCTCCTAGCAGGAGGCAGGCAGCAGTTACACACGGTCACGGAAGTGAGAGCAGCTGGGAGCGCAGTGCAGCCGGGGCAGGGCGAGGCCGCTCCCGGGCTCGGCACCACCGGGCCTGCCACAGCTCCCGCACGCCCATCGAGCCCACAGGGACAGCCTCTCCGCACTGCCTCCCAAACTGGCTGCGGCGTCTCAGAAGGCAGCCAGGTGCCAGCAGCCACACTGCCACGCTCCCCCAGGCCAGAGAGCAAAGGCTGGCAGCCTGCCCTCTGCACCGCCCACTCCCTGCTCACCGCCTCCAACGCTCCAGCCCCCCCCCCGTGCTCCCACTCCACCCTCGCCCAGGCAGGAACTCGCACTGCCGCAGCAGACGGCTCCCGGGGACCAGGCCCCAGCCCTGCGGCAGGCCAGTCCTCCCTGGGATGCGCCCTCCTGGGAAGGAATCAGGGCCTCCTTCCCCCTGGCGTGTGGCTCAGGATCCGGCTACTCTGCTAACAGCTCCGGGCCAATGACAGCGAGCAAGCAGCCCACGAAGGCTCAAGGCCTCGGGCCCTGCTGCCCACACAGGCCGACTCAGATGAAACTATAACTTGTCCACAGCCCGTCCAGCCCAGTGAAAATGCTCAGCAGTCACAGCAGACAGAAGATCTCTATCACTTCCTGCTTTCCAAATGTACTTACATACACACACATATGTGCATATACACATAGTAAGGGGAGCCAGCACCATGGCATAGCAGGCTGGGCTGCCTCTTACAGTGCTGGCATCCCACATGGTGCCAGTTCAGATTCCAGCTGTTCTACTTTGAATCCAGCTCCTGCATCCCCTCTCCCCATCTCTCGCTCCAGCTCCCCCTACATCTTACTTCAAAAGGAGCCCCACACCGCCCTTCCCACACCTCACCTCAGGGAGCCCCACACCGCCCTCCCCATGTCTGGAGCTGAGGGTCCCTGTGGGTGACCCCTGTGTTTTGAGCCGCCCTTCCCCAGGACTGCCCCGCCTGCACCCCTCGAGCGGGGGCTCCCTCACTGACAGGCCGACCCCCGATGCAGCGGGCTTCCGGAGGGCCAGCCTCTCCTCTCCCTCGCCTGCTGACTCCGGCCCGACTCAAGGCGCGGCTGGTGTTGCTTACAACATGAGCAACTTTGGCCACAAAAGCAGGTTTTTGGAGTCAACAACCCGAGAACAATGAACACTCAGAAATCATTCTTCAAGCTTCAGTGCAAATTCCAACCACAGTTCACTCACCAGCCGTAGGTTTTCTCTGGCTTAGGAATAGGGTCATCGAAGAAAGAGTCCCCTTCCACGTCGTCTTCATCTGGACGGAGGCCAGCCTTGTCTGTGGCGTCGGCAGGCCTGCTGCCCAGGAGAGACCCGGCCTTGGCCTCATGGCTCTTCAGTTCTGACGAGGAGACACTGGTGTCACTGTGACTGGCCTCACTGCTGGCCTTCTACAGGAGGGGAGACAGAAGGCCGGCTTAGTGGGCAAGAGCTGCGACGACAACAGCGGAGATAACGTGCGAGCACAGGCGGCCTGTGTGTGCGGTCTGCACCAGAGGCAATGGTCACTGGTGGGAAACATGTACACGTTCCGTGAGTCTGCACTGAACGGTTCGGCAACCCTGCGGCCTTGGCTAGGTGCTGCCGCCGCTGAGGCCATGCCAAGGCACCCCTGAGCCCTGGCAATCATGACCCCAGATGGTGGCAGAGCAGAGCCTGACTCCAGTGGTCAGCTCCCAGCGGGTTAAGAACAGACACCTGCTCATCGTCAGCCCTCCACACACGGGGCAACGCTGCCAGAAACACCTGCGCCGCTCTCAAGCAGCAGCAAACCGGGGAGTCGGCGCTGGGGTGCCCTGGGGAAAGCCGCCACTGTGGCACTGGCATCGCAGGTGGGAACCAGTTCAAGTCCCAGAGGCTCCACTTCCCATCCAGCTCCCTGCTAGCAGCTTGGAAAAGCAGCGGTGGATGGCTAAAGTGCGTGCCAGGCCCAGGTGAAGTCCCTGGCTCCTGGCTTCAGCCTGGCCCAGCTGTGACCACTGCAGCCAAGAAAGACACACCATGCCCAGCCTTCCAGGATTTAGCGTGGCCCTAAGACAGGGTCACTGCCGATGGCATCTGTCAGAATGAGGCCACGTAGGGCCTCACAGGAAGTGGGGTACACATGGAGACCCACGCTGCTTCTACAGGCCTGCGACACCATCAGCAGCTAGGACTGGGTGAGGCTCTGCTGACTCGCGGCGCCTATCTGCAAAGCCTCTGCAGCAGTGACAATGGATTGCTGTTGTGTTAAAACACTCAGCTCTACTGCTGCAGCAGCCATGGAAACAGCCACCTGGAACATTTCCATCTCGTCTATGGAGAAAGTCTCTTCCAACCACTACCACAGCCACTGCCCTTTCTTGTACAAGTCAGGGACAGTAAAACTGCCGAAAACTCAACTGCTGCTAGGATGCCTCCTGAACTTGTCTGCATTTTGACAGAGTTTGTCTTTCAAACGAGTCCGTGGGCACACAGGCGAAACAGGGCATCAGGGAGACCACAGCAGCCAAGGCCGGGCCAGGCCAGGCCAGGAGCCAGGACTACCATCCTGGGCCAGGAGAGACAGGGCAGCAGGGAGGCCACGCACCCAAGGCCAGGCCCGCCCGCCATCCTCGGCCAGAGTCTGCTGCCTCCAGCATGTGTGTTAGCAGGAAGCCAGACCAGACGAGCCAGCCTTTGAACCAGGTATTTATTCCAAGTCAGGACTCAGCCGCACACCTCACCCTGCCCCCAGCACTTCTTAAGAACCCCAAGAGCTTTTGCTGAAGACTTAACCTACACTGCCCACAGCAGGAAAAACAATGAAGCCAAGAAACTCCCAGGCCTACGAACAGGCTCAGAGCACCACACACTTCCTCTCCCCTGCCGACCAAAGGCAAGTTCTGCGCGCGACTTACTAGGAAGTACTAAAGGAACTGTGTGAACTCTAACACACACATCGAAAAGCCCACCTTGCTCACCCAGAGCTCACCGGCTCACAGAGCCCGCACATGTGGAACCACCCTCTCTGTCTCAAGACGCCATGCCTGCTGGACAGCCTCTCCTGCCCGTTGGGCACTCACTGCCCACACACACATACACCTGGGCTTGGCAACATGCCTCGGGGCATCCACAGCTGCTCCACCCGGCCGAGCCAGCAGCAGGCGGCAGGGCAGGGGCTGCCTGGCCGGACAGAAGTGCTGGGCCAGGGCTTAGACCCTCAAGTGACTCAAAAAGACACAGGACCCAGACATGCAGGCACTCCAGGCATTTTAGAGAAATGGAATTAAAACCTAACTTTTGGTGCCAAAAAATGCTGACATTCATGCACAATTTTTCCATAATAGGCATTGCCCACAAACTGCTTGAAATACCTTCCTAACACAACATGATCACCATCACTGCCCCAAATCAACACAAACCTGGCTTGCCTAGAATTCAAAAAGCAGAAAGGACATTTTAAGAAGGCTGTTTTAAGAAACAAAAGCAACCTCAGTGCACATCAGCTTTAAAACATTTGGAAAACAATGATAAAGACCTTTGGGGTCAGCATTGCAGTGTAGCACGTTAGGCCACCAGCTGAAATGCTGGCATGCCATGGGGGCACCAGCTCAAGCCCCAGCTACTCTGCTTCCGATATGTCTGGGGAGGAAGCAGAGTTGGCCCAAAGCCCTTGGGCCCCTGCACCCACGTGAGACCTGGAAGAAGCGCCAAGGCTCCTGGCTTTGACTATCTAGGAGGTGAATCAGATGGTGGAACACTTCTCACTCCTGGCCTCTGTCTCTCCCTCTCTGCAACACTGCCTTTCAAATAAGTGAAAAATCAGAGCTTAGCACAACCTGGGAACTACCGCTCACCTACTCCTGGCTCTTGGGGTCCTGCTCTGGCAACCTGAACTGGCAGTGCAATGGACCCATCGGCCACTGAGTGGGGCAAATATGCTAAGGATGCTGGGAACCTGCCTGGGCATTCAGCAGACAGCGGGCATGCACAACCTCCCAGCGGCCTCTCAGCAATGTGGTCAGGAGGAAGAGTGGACAGTTTCAAATGCCCACAGAAGCGCATAGGCTCGGGAGTACAGGAACAGTCAGGAGGACTGGGCCTGCAGACCAGACCCCCGGACTCTGGCAGGGCTCGGAGCCGGGAGCAGGGCGCTGGGCCAGGGCAGGCAGCAGGCGGCAGGCTGGGCCACAGTACTGTGACACCTGCACAGAACCAGACCTGCCTCTGGGGTGCTCTGGGTTCATACCCAGCACTGACTCCTCAAATGTGTTCACTTGTTTAGGACCCATTATGTAAATATGATTATAAAGCATACTATGAAATATGCCCTTAACTTTTAATAAACTCTGAGAAAGGGATGAGAAGAAATTATTAAGAAAGCACAACTTCACGTGCTTGAGTTTTCTTCCTGCGGCTGGCATCTCTGCCCTGGTGGGCACAAAGTGCACATTGCCAGGGACAGCAGACGGGCCTCACAGCTTCTCTGACAAACTAGCAGGTGCCTCGGGGGGCAGGAACTGGTGCTGACACAGACCAAAGTCCTCACACAACACCTTTCTCAGGGTCTCGCACTTCCAAAGTTTCCAACTTAGTGAAGAGTTCTCGAGATAAGCCAACGTCAACACGCACTAAGTGAATGTCAGAAAAGTTAAACAACTTAATCCTATTTTAAATACAAGCAAAAACTCAAACAATGTTCCCAAGCCCTCTAACACTTATTTTATAAAAATAAATAAGCTTATATTTTCTTATACGCTTGTATTTTCTTATAAGCTTACATATGCTTATAAATTTTCTAAGCACCTAATTACTAAGGCTTAGTAGATTCAGTCCACCCGAGTGACCGTCGGGGCGGGAGAGAGGGCAGGCAGGGCTCGGGCTGTGTGCTATGTCCGTGGCCAGCCCACGGAGTGTCAGAACACAGCCACGCGTGCAAGAAGACAGGCTAATCTCTCATGCCACGATCACAGCTTGGACATTTTCCTCAGATGAAACATTTACTTACATGTACACTAACTTCCATTAAAGGAAAATGAATATTTCCAACTTGTTCAACTGCCAGCAAAACAGGAATTCTCAAATTAAAACTGAGCATATAGTTTCAAAATATGTCAGTTATGATTTTTAACTGGATAAAACTGACAGTCTAATATTTTTTGCGTCACCACTGCTTCCTCATTACAGATAAGGCACGGACCCCTTCCAGGGCAAGGCGGAGGCGGGCCACAGAGCCCCGAACACAGGCTCAGGGCGCGTCCAGCATGGCCGCCCTCCCGGCTCCTCACGCGGTTACCTGGTCACCAGCCTTCTGCCTGCCTGTCTTCTTCTTGCCTGGTCCTTGATACCTTGGTATCTGAGCATGAGAATAAAATGACATTTTACCAAGACATGCAAATCCTTACAAGTAAACTACTATTTCCAAACTAACAGAGTCCTATGAGAAAACTTCTAACAAATGGAAAATCTAACCCATTCCACCGCCATTCCCAAGAGTTCAGCTCCCGGCTCAGTGGTTTCCGGCAGCTTCTCCTGGGACAGCCATCACTACTGGGCCTCAAGGGTGGGGACTCTTTCCCATCAGCATCGCCCCAATCCCCCGGCTCCCTCAACACCAGCCACACATGTCATCCCAAACCCCCGCCTTCCTCAAGACCAGCCACACACACGTAAAACTGAGTCCTACAAGACCAGTGTGGCCAGCACAGTGGCTCACAGGCCAATCCTCCACCTGCAAGCACCAAGATCCCATATGGGAGCTGGCTTGTGTCCCGGCTGTTCCACTTTCCATCCAGCTCCCTGCCTGTGGCCTGGGAAATCAGTAGAGGATGGCCCAAAGCCTTGGGACCCTGCACCCGCGTGAGAGACCCGAAAAAAGCTCCTGGCATGTGGCTTCAGATCCACTGAGCTCCAGCCACTGTGGCCATTTTGGGAGTTAACCAGCAAATGGAAGATTCTCTCTCTTTCTCTGTGTCCTTCCTCTCTATAAAACCTGCCCTTTGGGCCCGACAGCATGGCTTAGCAGCTAAAGTCCTCACCTTGAACGCCCCAGGATCCCATATGGGTGCCGGTTCCCATCCAGCAGCTCCACTTCCCATCCAGCTCCCTGCTTGTGGCCTGGGAAAGCAGTCGAGGATGGCCCAATGCTTTGGGACCCTGCACCCGTGTGGGATACCCGGAAGAAGTTCCTGGCTCCTGGTTTCAGATCGGCATAGCATCGGCCGTTGCGCTCACTTGGGGAGTGAATCATCGGACGGAAGATCTTCCTCTCTGTCTTTCCTCCTCTCTGTATATCTGACTTTCCAATAAATAAATAAATCTTTAAAAAAACAAAAACAAAAACCCTGCCCTTTTAACACAAAATAAATCTTAAACAGAAAAAAAAATACCACGTCGCACACTGCGCACCCTGTTTCTGACCACAGTGCCCCAGAGTCCCCAGTGCTGATGTTGAGACACCAGCAGAGAACGTGCTGGAACCCCAAGTTTATATCCCTTAGGACCCTGGGGAATTGCCTGCTACGTGCCAAAATAGATGGCTGTCAAAACAGACGCCTCCCAGCCCACCAGTGTCCAGGGTGCTTCTGAGGGCGTCACGGCCACCGGCGCCCCTGCAGAGCCAACGTCCCCTGGTACTTAGAATTCCGAGCAGTGTCTCTAAGCTGAAGAACACTGACCATTCCCAGGTGGGAAGCTGTGTACCCTAACTGCTGAGACGCCCCTCACCCCGAGAGGAACAGGGCTGCAGATTAACTCTGGCCTCTACCTGCCTGCCTACGTGCACCCTGGGAGGCAGTGACCAAGGAACTCCAGCCTGCCACACAAGAAGCCTCTTTCTACCTGGGCCCAGTCCCAGCCACGCAGGGCATCTGGGAAAAACCTGCGCAGAGAGAACTGACACTGCCTTGAAGACACTCCCTGAGTCAGTGCTGTTCATCTGCGCTCAAGCAACCCTAACCCGAGCAGCTCGCAGCTGCAGGAACTGCGGTTTCAGAATGCCCCTCTCTCATCTCTCTGAGCCAAGTACTTTGACAGAGCACGAACCTCTCTCCCTTCCAGCAGAGGCGGGCCAGTGCACATCCCAGCACCCCGCACAGCCACACAGACATCCTCCCAAGCTAGCCTGCGCACGTGTCCTCAGTCCCCAGGCCCTGCTCACAGCTGCCTTGGCAGGCCCAGGCCAGGCAATCCTGCAGGCCCTGAATGGGCTCTTCATTTACAGGTAAAGCAGCTTCGAAAACTGACTCCTGACCTTGCTCTGCCACCAAGGTTACTGTGTCCCATGAGCATCAAAGACACTGTCACAGGACCATCCCTGTAGCAATCTCAGAAGGAACACACACAACTTAGCAGTGGGCTCTGCTCATGAGAAATAACGCACAACCACTTCTCTGGGTTTCTAAGCTTCAAAAACAAGAAACAGACACGGCATTGACACAGAAAGTAACAGTGACCATTCAGCATGTGCTCTGGCAGACACACGCGATCAGCACAGCTTGACTAACAAGGACCCTCCACAGAGCCCCACCCCACAGCCACGCTCGGGTCCCCCAAGAACCGTCCCAGCACACACACCTCACCTGTGACCCCCCAAACCCACTGCTGCACTCCTAACCCTACGAGGAATGCCAGGTGAGGGCACATGGGCCTCCGGCTCCCCGGAGGGGACACGCAGAGGCCCACTGTGAACAGGAGCTGGGGCACAGAAAGCTGCATTGCCACTGGGGTGGGGCCCAAGGGCCCTACTGCCGCATGCCCAGACCTCGCCTGAGTCGCCTGAGTCGCTCTCCCTGACAGTCCTGCAATCTTAAATCCAGGATCTCCTGCACATCCTATTCTCAACATTAGGTCTTGTTTTTGCAACTCACCAACCTACCCAGACACAGCTATAACCAGACAACACGTTCTTACCCGCCCATGGTTCACAAATGTAAAAACCATCAGAGTTTACTATTCTAAATCTGATCACCCAACCAGAAGTCCGTAATACTCAACACAGAAATGTTATATTCTAGAATCTATCATTTTTTCCTAAGCTAGGAATTAATAAAAGTAAACCTTGTTGATGAAAACAAAAAGTTAGGGTTATTCTAGTTCTATTTGATGGCTTATCCCTTTCCGTAAATATGAAAGTCAAGATACCACCAACAAAACAAAGCACCTCAGAGGCGAGCAGCCCTCCCTGCAGAGCAGCCCGGGGAGCCGGCCCACGCTCACCTTACTGGGTGTGCGGTGGGAACTGGATTTTCCATCTGGTGACTTCGGTGGAGAATGTATGTCAGACAGATCGAGTGCACCCTAAAATATTTACAATTTAAAATTAAAACATATCTAAATCTAAAACACAAATATACTAATTATCCTTGAATGAAATTTTAGCATTTGAAAACACTAAACAATGTTAACATTTTTATTTTTTCCTCATTAATGTAAATATCCCAATTTTTAATTTTACCAAAACATACTCATGGGGCCAGCATGATGGCTCAATTGGCTAATCCTCCACCTTCAAACACAGGCATCCAATAAGGGTGCTGGTTCATGTCTCGGCTGCTCCACTTCCTATCCAGCCTCCTGCTTATCACCTGGGAAAGCAGTGGGAGACCTGGAAAAAGCTCCTGATTTTGGATCAGCTCAGCTCTGGCTGTTGCTGCCATCTGGGGAGCGAGCCAGCAGATGGAAGATCTTTCTGTCACTCCTTCTCTCTGTAAAAACAAGGCATCACACACCCAAATCCTAACTGCCTGCAAACATCTCCATCACCTTGCCGAGGAGGTCACTACGCCTACACTGAAACGCCCCAGGTCTACCTCCCCGCCTTTAAGATTTGGTTATTTGAAAGGCAGAATTCCAAACAGAAAGAGAGATCTTCCACCTGCTGGTTCATTCCCCAAACAGCCACAAGGGCCATGGCTTGGCCAGGCTGCAACCAGGAGCCAGGAGCATTCGGGTCTCCCTGTGCGTGGCCATCGTCCACCGCTCTTCCAAATGCTTCAGTAGGGAGCTGGCGGGGGCAGAGCAGCAGGGACTTAAACCTGTGCCTCTCTGGGATGCCAGCGTCACAGGCGGCCGCTTCCCCGGCCATGTCACAAAGTAGGCATCAGAATTCTGTATTCCTTTACTGCCTAATGGCAAGCACAATGTTCATCAAACACAAAACAGAAAGCTTTCAGGTAACTTAAAAGCGCACAGTAGGAGTGACAGGGACCCCTTCCTGCCCCCACTGACATCCCCTTTCCAGGCCCCGCCCCACCGGATGCTCCACCCTCACCTGGGTCCGACAACTGAAATGTGTGGAGATAATCATGTCACATGTCACTTCCTCATGTCCACACTGCTTTACCTCCACAGCTCTCAGCTTCTTGAGGACAAGCAATTTCTCTTTTTATTTGAAATGCAGACACACAGAGGCAAGTCTTCCTCAAATGCCACAACAGCTGGGGCTGAGCCACACCAAAGCCCAGCGGCCAAGCCTCGGTCCAGCTCCCACGGGGCAGTGGGGACCCAAGGGCTGAGCCACACCAAAGCCCAGCGGCCAAGCCTCGGTCCAGCTCCCATGGGGCAGTGGGGACCCAAGGGCTGAGCCACACCAAAGCCCAGCGGCCAAGCCTCGGTCCAGCTCCCACGGGGCAGTGAGGACCCAGCAGCCGGGCCTCAGTCCCACTCCCACGGGGCAGTGGGGACCCAAGGGCTGAGCCACACCAAAGCCCAGCAGCCAGCTCTCATGGGGCAGTGGGGACCCCGGGGCATCAGCAGGAGGCTGGGCTGGGAGCAGAGCAGGGAGCCCAGCAACTCCCACAAGTGATCCAGACCCCCAGCAGTGTGTCAGACACCTGACAGAGAGTCAGGGAGAGGTCATGCCCACTGCCCGCTGGTTCCTGAGCCCAGCATCGCCAGCATCAACAGCCAACACACACGTTGTAACGGTGTCTCCACCAGTCCGGAGTGTGTATTTACATAAGTTGGGTCTCTTTCAGGAGGAACAGTCTCTTTCCATGTAAACCCTGATTACCCACAGGCACTACTAAGCTCATGGTTAAACTAAGAACATGGCAGGCATACGTACTTCTCCACTGCGGGGACCTTTCTCCTTCTGCTGGCAGCGTCGAAGCACCTCCAGCAGCAAGGGCCCACCCACAGTGCCTTCTGCCTCGATAATACCTAAATCGCGGGCTAAGTTCTCTCGGCCTTCTAGACCTTGAAACTAACAAAGAAAAAATGGTAAGTGCACAAGAAGACAGAGCTGAAAGCCAGCTGCACCTCACAGCCCCACAGAGCTCCTCTGCACCCGCCAGCACACGCTCCCTGCTACAAAAAGCCACACAGGCAGGACAGTAAGAGGGCTGTCAGCTTCCGGCTGGGGCTGACTCGCCTGCAGCCAAGCACACTTCCTAGAGCAGATGTAGAAGCTTTCCTCTTACCGTGCTAGTTTCAGGTTGGAACACAGCCAGGGTGAAGTCAAGGTTGAAAAACTGAAGAAACTCTGCCACCAGGCTGGCCACGAGCCGGCCTGCGGACAAGACACAGAGATGGGCCTCCACAGGGATGGGCCTCCACAGGGATGGGCCTCCACAGGGATGGGCCTCCACAGGGGAACAGGACTCAGGGATGGGCCTCCACGGGGGGAACAGGACACGGGGATGGGCCTCCACAGGGATGGGCCTCCACAGGGGAACAGGACTCGGGGATGGGCCTCCACAGGGATGGGCCTCCATGGGGGGAACAGGACACGGGGATGGGCCTCCTCAGGGGGAACAGGACAGTGGAAGCAAGGAGACAGGAGGGTTTTGCTTTTCCTGTTTACCAGTTTCTTCTTTCTGAATAATATAATTAAATACTGAAAAATCCCTAACTCCTCCATTTTCCATTAGGATCATCAATCTCACCATGTTAGACAAAGTTTCATAAACGCCCTTCAGTGTCCTGTCTTTCACTGTAAAATTGGCCTTAACCAATATCTTCCCTGACAAAGATATTTCCCAGCAACCCAACTGCTGCGCCAGGGCTCGACCCTTCTCCCACCTGGGGTGCAGACAGAGACCCCAACACGACCCTTCTCCCACCTGGGGTGCAGAGACCCCCGGCCTGACCCTTCTCCCACCTGGGGTGCAGAGACCCCTGGCCCGACCCTTCTCCCACCTGGGGTGCAGACAGAGACCCCAACCCGACCCTTCTCCCACCTGAGGTGCAGAGACCCCCGGCCTGACCCTTTTCCCACCTGGGGTGCAGACCGAGACCCCGGACGGGCAGGCAGAGCACACAGGGGAGGGCACAGCACACAGGGGAGGGCACAGCACACAGGGGAGGGCACAGCACACAGGGGCGGGCACAGCACACAGGGGCGGGCACAGCACACAGGGGAGGGCACAGCACACAGGGGCGGGCACAGCACATAGGGGCGGGCACAGCTTACCATCCTTCGTATTCAGAAACTTTCTCAGGCTCTCATTGACTAAAGGAGCTTTGTTCTGTTAACAAAACAAAATATTTTTAAGTGTCTTGTTTTGTTTTTAAAGATTTATTTATTTTTATTGCAAAGTCAGATACATATAGAAGAGGGACAGATAGGAAGATCTTCCATCCACTGATTCACTCCCTAAGCGGCCACAATGGCCAGAGCTGAGTCAATTCGAAGTCAGGAGCCAGGAGCTCTTCCAACTCTCCCACACGGGTGCAGGGTCCCAAGGCTTGGGGCCGTCCTCGACTGCTTTCCCAGGCCACAGGCAGGGAGCTGGATGGGAAGCAGGGCTGCTGGGACACGAACAGGTGCACATATGGGATCCTGGGACGCTCAAGGCAAGGACTTTAGCCGCTAGGCCACTGTGTGGGGCCCAAGTGTCATGTTTTTTAAGAATTAAAAAATGTACATAAAAGCTTAATTTTTGGCAAAAATGTAATACATTGTCATAAAATTATAATACATATACATAAAATTATGGTTCTCTAAAATTCATTACAAAACTGTTGGTTAGTACTGTATATGCTTTGTGCTGTTTAAAAGCTTCTCAAATGCATATACTCACAAGCATTCATTTCTAGTGTTGAATAAACTGCTGCTGAACTGTTTTTCTAAGTAGGCATCTTCACACACTTACTGAATGCAACTGAGTTTACTTACATAAACTATTATTTCATACACATTGCTTGATGCTGTTCTCACAACTACCAGCTAGAAGTCTAAACAGTTTAAGTGTGACTTGTACATTCTGACCCCCAGTTCATCAGGGATACATGAGGCGACCAGTTCTAGCCACAGCAGCCCTGAGAGTGCCACAGGCAGGTGGCACGGCGTGGCTACGGCTGCAGTCAGCGCTACCCCCGCTGACCACATGACCACAAGGGAAAGGGCAGTGACACTCGGGGAAGCAGACCCCCAGGTGCCAGTGATTCCGCCTCTGCTCTGAGAGATCATAGATCCAAACCAGAAATTGCAAACAGGGGCAACACGTCTTGGAAGGAAGCTGGGAGATGCAGACGGTAAAAACAAGCGGGCAGGAGCAAGCAGGAAGAGGTCCACAGCACTATGGAAGGCAGGCTAGAGCAGAGAGGGGGGTGGGCAACACGGGGGCGGGGGCAGACACCCCCAGGGGAAGGTTAGCCCACAGCCTGGGGACCAGACACACCCAGGAGAAGGTTAGCCCACAGCCCGGGGACCAGACACCCTGTACCCCTAAGCCCCTGGTGGAAGGTTAACCCAAAGCCCAGGGCTCAGACACCCAGGACACCCCTAAGTGCCTGGAAGGCTAACCTAGAGCCCGGGGCTCAGACAGCCAGCACCTTAAGTCCCCAGCGGAAGGTTAGTCTGTGAGGCTCAGGAGCCCCCAGTGACCAGAGCCCAGGTGAGACCAGGATAGGACCCTGGCAGGCTGAGGTGCATGGATGCTCCACGTGAAGCAGCACCCGTCAGGGCCCGTACTCCGCTTCCCAGCTGCTCACTACCCGCGCCCAGCCCTGGCTGCTGAGCCAGCGGGGAGTGGCCCGGTGGACAGAAGCTCTCTCCCTCTCCCCCACGTCCTCTGAGACTCTGCCTTTCAAAAAGACGATGACGCAGTCAAGGCAGCACCAACAGAACCTCGGCAATCCCAAAGGTCAAGGGAAACACCCCATCTGGGGAAGGTGCTGAGGCCGCAGCAGGCTGGGGCTCACCGGCCACAACCGTGTAGGACACACTCTACGAAGCACCTGCCGGGAAGGAGGCATGAGGAAAGCTGCTTTCATGCCAAGGACAGATGCCAGAGAGGCAGCCGCCAGGCACCCGGCTGGAGAGGAGACCGCAGAGGGCAAAGCTAGGGTCACTCTCTGAGGACACGGCACCTCCCCTAAAGCAGACCCAGGGACACTCACCAGCATTAGGGGGCCAAGAGACTGGATGCGGGAGGAGGACATGGGCCAGGACCTCACCCAGCGAAGGAGGCAGCAAGGCAGCAGCTCCATGGGTGGGCAGTCCTACAGGTGCAGTCTGCCCGGCTCAGGCCCTTGCAAAGGGCTATCCAGACACCACAGTGAGCAGTGTGTCCAGGGAGCAAGGACCCTCTCTGTGCTCCCAGAACACACATGCCTGGAGGGCTGGGGGCTCCAGTCCTAAGGTCCAGGCCACAGGGCAGGCGGCCGGGGACAGCTGGTGTCTGGACAGACCCCAAAACACCATGTTTTGATGATATCACAGAGCAGGTGCACGTGAGGGCACTCCAGGGAGGCTCCCTGCTGCCCAGTTCTAGCACACTTACTCAGGATGCTTGCTGGATGAAAAACACCCAGCGAAACAGAGTGACAGCTCGTGAAACTCCCGTCGGTCCAGCGTCCACCACACGTCACTCCCTGGCATCTCACCTGACAATCCCATTCCTCCTCTCTCGCGGGGAGGGGGTGTCCCTTCCCAGCCCCGCCCACTTACCAATCACCTGTGACAATCTCAGGCACCAATCCCTCCCACCCCCAGGTATGCCCCTCTCTCGCACCAACCCCATCCTGTCCCTGCCCTGCTGGAAGAGAACCTCCTAAAGCACTCGTCACGTCTGGTGTTTTCAGCTTAAGGTAAAAGGAACCGGCTGCACGCGTTTAAAACCTAACGCAGTGCATGGGGCTTGGCCAGCAGGAAGGACAGCGCTTGCTCCGCATACCCAAGCAGTCGGGTGGCTGGGGAACCCAGGGTGTGTGCAGCTCCCAAAGGTGCAACTCTGCAGTTACCGACAACCGGATCCCGCCTTCAGCAATTCATGGCAGCTTTCGTCTCTTTGGACTTATTTGAAGAGCAAAGAGGCAGGCAGAGGTCTTCCATCTCACATACCTACAACAGCCAGGGCCGGGCCAGGCTCCACCCGGATCAAGTCCGGCTGGCTTGAGGAGCTCTGGGGCCCAAACTGCGGAGGGCAGTGTGAGTCTGGCGGTGGGCCTGGCCATGCCGTCCCGGGTGGAGGGGCTCCAGCACACTAGCGGGACGTTCCACACACAGGCCTCAGGAGTCTCCGTGCTCCAGGACCACCTCTCTCCGATTCAGCAGAGCCCACAGCTCCCACCTGCTGCCTCACTTCCCCCATGCCTATGAGGAGGAGCCAGCAGCGGGCACCCAAGCCCCTGGGCCCTCACCGTTGCCCCCCAGGTGTGCCAACAGCCTGTTCCCTCCCCCATCCATGTCGGAGTGGTCTGAGTCCCGCGGTACCTCTTCTTAAGATCATTCCTGAAATCAGGGCAGGTGCCATGGCCCGAGTGCTTTATGTTCCACCTACAAACCCAAGCATCCCCCATGTCCCGGCTGCCCCACTTCCCGTCCAGCTCCCTGCCTGTGCCCTGGGACAGCAGCGAAGCACGGCCCAAAGCCTTGGGACCTGCACCCACGTGCAAGGCCCGGAAGAAGCTCCTGGCTTCCGATCGCCTCAGCTCCAGCAGTGGTAGCCACCTGGGAAGTGAACCTGCCGATGTTGGATCTGTTTCTCCTTCTCTCTCTGAATCTGCCTTTTCAATAAAATGTACATCTTTAAAAGAAAAAGATGATTCCCCAAATCTGCAACTGTCCAAACAGCATTCCGTGGGCTCTCCCCCCAGCCCTGCCCCGCTGCCCCGCGCGTCCGTGCAGGCGGGCGCAAGCCTGCAGGGCTGCCTACCTCCACCTTCTCCTGCTCCTCCAGTGCCAGGAACACAGCCGCTCGGAGCTCGGCCTGGGCGACAGGGCAGGGGAGAAGCCAGCTTACCCGCTGCAGAAGCGCAGGACAGGCCGCTCGCCCCCGCCGGCCCGGGAGCTGTCCGCCGCCGACCCCCGGCCCCTCCGCGCCTCCCCGCTGTGACGCCCGCGGCCTGCAGGCCCCAGAGCCACGCCCGCGGCCCGCTCCCACCTTGATGCGGTTCAGGACCCCGCTGTTCTCCAGCGTCTGCACCAGCAGATCCCGCAGCTCCGTGTCCTCCTCGGGGACCACCGCGGCCGCCGTCGCCGCCATCTTGCTTCTCCTAGACAACCGCCGAAGCCGCGCCAACGGCCAACGGCCGCGCAGACGCCGCTCGGCCGCGCGCGACGCACGGGGGCGGGGCTGACGCGGGGGCGGGGCTCGCACTGACACTGGGCGGGGCTCGCGCTGACGCTGGGGGCGGGGCACGGGCTGGCGCTGGGGGCGGGGCTGTCTTGGGGCGGGACCTGAGGCGTGACTCGGACTGACTGGGGGCGTGGCTGTCTTGGGGCGGGACTTGGGGCGTGGCTCGGGTTGCCGGGGAGGTGCTGACTTGGGGCGGGACCCGGGCTGACTTGGGGCGGGGACTGGGGCGGGGCTCGGGCTGACGCGGGGCGGGGCTCGGGCTGGCGCTGGGGGCGGGGCTCGGGCTGGCGCTGGGGGCGGGGCTCGCGCTGGCGCTGGGGGCGGGGCTCGTTCTGACGCGGGGCGGGGCTCGGGCTGGCGCTGGGGGCGGGGCTCGGGCTGGCGCTGGGGGCGGGGCTCGCGCTGGCGCTGGGGGCGGGGCTCGGCCTAGGGCGCGCGGGTTCCCGAGGTTTCCGGATGCGAGTTGCGGCCGCGGGCTGCGTGGTGGAGACCCGGAAGGCCGTGCCGTGGCGTGGTAGCCGTTATACGTGTAGATAACCTCTGTTGCATTAACTACCTTCCCCCAGACCCTGCACCCCGTCTGCAGCCGCCTGAGCCCAGCGCAGTGAACAGCCCTGGTGGACCCCCGCCAGCACCCTCGCGGGGCGCGGGTCCCGCTCGGCCAGGTGCCGGCCCCAGTGAGGCCCCAGGGTGCTTTGCCGGCTGGGAGCACCGTCTTCCAGCAGCACGGGTTTGTCTCCCGACTGAAGTTGGTATCACTTGAGGCTGTGCTGCCAGGAGCTGTGGTGATGTTAGGTAGCTGGCCGTGTGTAGAGTGCACACCTTGTGTGTCAGCTCCCTGCCTGGAGAGACGGCCAAGTCGGCCAGTGCCGTCACGTCATTGTTGTCTACCGTGATGAGCCTGGCGGCTTTCCCTGGCTGCTCCAGACCCTTGTGCCGCCTGGCTGCTTGCCTCCTGCTGGGCCCGCATTTGGGAAGCAGGTGGGTCTGTGGGTGAAGACCTTGCTGTGTGTTCCCCCACCTTCCCCAGGCAGGGAAGGAGCAAGTGGCAGGTACCTGCTGGGGTCCGTGCAGTGGGTGTAGAGTGCATGAAGGTGTGAAGAGAGCAGCCCCCTGCTTGGCAGGCCAGGGGAGCTTCCAGCTGCTGGCAGGCCCCGCGGATTTCTCTCTGACCAGCTTGACACAGTCTCACCCCGTTGCACCCCACTAAGAATTCTGTAATGTATTGAGGCATTGTTTGCCCCTGTGGGATGGCTTTGGCAACTGACGTGAGCTTGAGAGTTAATGTTATTGATAATGTCCTGGTGAGTGGGCCTTTAACTGCACGCAGGAGTACAATTAAATCCATGCTGTTCCGGACACCTTATTGTGTACCCATTGCCCTGGAATCTGGCCTGGACATGTAGCACACCTTCTGGGAAATGGCTTGATAAGAATTTTACAAAGTAATGGAAGTGATGGGAGTATGGGCTGAAACTGGTATGGCAAAAAATACAGCTAGTGGGACCCTAAAGGCTATCCTGTTACTGGAACCCCAAAGGCCATCTTGTTACTATAACCCTAAAGGCTATCCTGCGATGACAAAAATATGGCTACTGCGACCCTCAAGGCTGTCCTGTTACGCAACCCTAAAGGCTATCCTGCTATGGCAAAAAAAATATATATAGTTACTGTGACCTTAAAGGTTAGCCTGTCCTTATAATTCTTTAAAACATAGAAAATGCAGTTGTTTTAGCTGCTGTCATAATTTTTAACTAGAGGAAATATGGGACAATGGGCAATTTTACTAACATCACAGAGATAGACTTTTGATTATTGTTTGATTGTTTATGAGGTCGCAGAGCCTGCAGTTGGAGGGGGTTAATGTTTGAAACTTTCTTAGATCTTTGCTTTTCTCTTCTGATGTGTTTCTCCCAGTAAGTGATGGACAAGTTGTGTAAGAAGCGTACTAGGAGTGTATTACTGATTAGTATGTGTTGTTACTGAGGAATTCCCAGCTGTAACATCAGAATGGATAATTCCCTGTCTTAAGGTGCAACAATTTGCAGAATTATCTTTGGAAGCACTCACTTGTCCATTGTAGAGTTGAAACCAAAATGCTAACTGCAATTCTTTCCGCCGTTAAAACTCCTACTTTGCTTGCTTAGTTAACAAACTGTGTGAGTTTACAGGCCCAATGTCCAACTAATGCCCATGACCCCAATCCCCATAAACCAAGGCCCCAGCCTTACTAACCCGTACATAATCCAAGATTTTGGACTTGGTAGCCATTAGGTCTGCTCTAGGAAAGGCCCCCGGGACGTGCGCGACTGAGACGGCTTGGGGAAGGGCCCTGGGGCCGGATGGACAAGAGGAGGCAGATCCTCCTGCTAGTGGCGTGCTAGGTACAGAGCGGGAGGCCAGGGTCATTGCTGCCCTGACGTGGGGGTCTGGGCTGAGTAGCATAAGGGCAGTCAGGGGCAACGGGGAGACCCAGAGAGCAGCCCAGCTTTAGACAGAGGGAAGAGGGTGTCGTGGGCTGAGGCCTGGAAGGCTGAGCCTATCGGGCAGGGGCAGTCTGGAGGTGCTGGGTGCAGCACTGTGAGGCCCCGAAGGGCAGTGGCCGTGTGGAGGAGGGTGGACGTCCATCTGGCATGTCACGTCGACAATGGGGGCAGGGAGGACTTTCTCTGCCCATGGCCACGTGCACGTCACGTATCCACTGGGCCACACAGAGATGATAATTTGGAAATTGCTGAAGATTGAGTGTGTGGGCCCCACCTGCAGACACCTTGGACAGCAGCCCAGACAAGGCCCAGGTGTCCAGGTCCTCATCCCTGCTCCCAGCAGGACAGGTACTGTGCCTGCGTCCTCGATTCAGGCCATGGGAGGCAGGCACCAAGCTTTGTTCCTGTGGACAAGCAGCCCGGGGTACAGACGAGGCACTGGCCGCAAGGACTCCCAGGGGGAACTGACAGCCCATGTGTGTGGGCAAGGAGCAGCTAGCCCTCGGGTGCAGGCTTGGAATGATGTCCCAGGAGGACCAGAGAGCAGCTGGGCACCCACACACACCTTCACGGACACCCCGAGTAACGTGTGAGTGTCTGGGAGCCTGACATGGGCCACAGATGGTTCTAGAGCCTTTACTGGGTTCTCAACTAACCAGGACGTGTACCTTCTCACCTTGGAAGGCACTGCAGGAATGCCTTGGCCCAAGCCTGTCTCCCCACTCCTCTCCTAGCACACGCCCTGTGGTACCCCCTCCGCTAGGATCAGCCTGCTGTCCTGACGGGCTCAGGCTGGTGCAGACGGAGATGAGCGATTGGCCAGGTCCTCCGTCTCCCTGCCCGTCCTGTAGGTGCTGCAAAATCCAGACACAGCTGGGGAGAGAGACGGAGTCCCCCACCCTGTGTGTGGCACTATTAGCCACGGCGTGTGGGTCTCTTCCGGGGTGCCTGCTTTACACTTGCTCTGAGCCTCGGCCCCCGGGATAAAGGTGGGGGTGCAGCCTGTGTGTTGGGATGCATGCCAGGCGTGCAGGCAGCTCGGCTCTCGGTCAGAGATCACAATGAGAATGTCAGCCGTTAGCTGATCAGAATATCCAGCCCAGCCTCATTCCCCCACATTCTCTGGCACATTTATATCTGAAATCACACCATTTTTTCTTGTTGTTCTTTTAAGATTTGAGCTTATTTATTTGGAGAAGTTAGAGGGGGTGAGAAGGAGTGGGAGGAGGGGAGGGACATCCTCCCCAGATGACTGCATCGGCCAGGGCTCAGCTAGGCCAGGGCCAGGAGCGGCTGCTCCTCTGGGTCTCCCACAAGCGTAGCAGGGGCCCACGTATTTGGACCATCCCAGGCCATGGGCAGGGAGCTGGACTGGAAGTAGATCAGCCTGACACAGACTGGCACCCGTGTGGGATGCTGGCACGGCAGGCTGCGGCTTTACCCACGGCACACACCAGTGCTGTCATATTTGATTTTTTAGAAACTTGTGTTTAAAACACAGAGAGACATCGTCTGTCCACTGGTCACTCCCCAGATGACCACAAACTCCAGGGACAGGCCACACCAGGCCAGGAGCCAGCACTGGGTCTGGATCCCGCTCCTTGGGGCCATCACTCTCCTCCCAGGATCCATAGCGGCAGGACTGGAAGTGGAATGGAACCAGGACTTGGCCCCTAGCTCTGCAGTAGGAGCTGCCAGGGGCGTCCAGCTGCCTGTTCTGAAGAGACGCCTGGCACGCAGAGCCCACTGTCCCACGGCTGGCAGCCCGTGGTAACCACCCAGTGCTGGTCGTGCCATGCTGGTTTGCTTGCTGCCAGGACCCAGTAAAGACAGTCGTCCCACTCTGCTTTTGCTGCTGCTCCTGAAGGCCACAGACAGGCTGGTTTATAGAGGATGCACGTCTGTTTAGCTTGTTCCCTGCCGTCAGGGAGGCCCGTCCCTGCCATGCTAGTCTGTGTCTCACTTCCAAAGACCCTGAGGCCAGGGGGTGCCCGCTTACAGCGACCACCTCCAGTGGGCTCAGCACACACTTGGGTCTTCAACAGGGGCACATGGGGCAGTAGAATGCTGGAGATGGCCAGCAGGGGGCAGTGTGTGTCAGGACACCCGGAGTGAGGCCTCCAGGATGCTCCACTGGAAGGTGGCACCCAAACGGAACCATCTTGGCAGTCAGTGGCATCAGTGGCAGCGAGTACCAGCGCGCGTACAGGCACCCTGCTGTCCCCCTGTGTGCGTAAAAGCTTTTTAAGAGTGCCACCTCCCTCCCGCCAGCAAGGACAGAAGTCAGCCAGTGAGAATGACTCCAGCCCCCGTCAGGCGGAACTGGCACGGAGTGGGGTGGTCCTCTGGGACAGCCTGACTACACAGCCCTCCCAGGAGTCCCATGACCTCGCCTTTGCTGCCCGAGGAAGCCAGAACACCCCCTT